GTGAGTCATTATGATACGAAAAAATGAAAATATAATCAGATGAGATTTGTAGCAAAGAGGCACATAATTAACTGGCAAGGGCATCACTGAAAGTATTGTGGCAAATTGTACTCACTTCTATGAATGATAGGAATAAATAGGTAAAAAGCGAATAACCTTAATAAATTGTTACAAGGTTGGATCTTATGGGAGTAAATTGGCATACCAATGAAACAAAATCAGCTGCCAAGAAGTATAATTAGAAAGTGGAAGTTGTAACAAAAGCTGAAAAATTTTGATTAATCCACTTTCAACAGAGATTATCAATACTCGAATAGATATCACTTCCCCTGGTTTGTACACGCAGATAAATGAAGATAACAAACAACTGTAAACCAATGTTGAATTTATTTACGATTTTAAATTAAGATTCATCGAGTGAGGTGCTGATGGGCGGTATGCTGAATGATGTATTAACAGCGGCTATTGGAAAAACAAGAAGTTAGAGAAGTGGTAAATAATAGAATGAACTTTCACTCGAATTCAATAATGAACATTGGAATTGCAATAAAAGTCGCTTTAGAATTTTACGATTTTTTTATGGTTTGTTTCTTAAATGGAGATAATGATTACGAGCTTTTTCGTTTTACGAAGATGGTCTTGTCCACCAAATCAAAATATCCCTAATTTAATATGTACTTAAAGTAAAGCCTTGATTTCATCATATAACACTAATACGAAAGCTCCACCAGTTCCTCTTAATACATTAGACAAAGCTCCCTTGAAGAAAGCCTTTGAACCTTCAGTTTTAGCAATCTTTCCCCAACAATGTGCTGTGCTCTTGTACATTCGTTCTGCAGGAGGTAAACCACTTTGCATCATCATTCGTCGACGTACGGTATCAAATGGATATGAAATAACTCCAGATACAGTTGTTACAGCTTGGGCAATAAGCCATGAGATGACAATTGGTGTCTTCTTGGGATCTGGTAACATACCCTTGGCAGTGTCAAAGAAACCGAAGTAAGCAGCTCTAAAATTTTACACAGAAATAAGAAATAAATTATATTAATGAAGATGTTGAAATATATTTAACCAAAAAAAAACTAAAATATAACAATTGAAATAAACTTACCGGTAGATAATGATACCTTGGACAGATACAACGAAACCTCTGTAAAGACCCAAATAACCATCAGATTTTAAGGTTTTACCAATACAATCTACTAAACCGTTGTATTGTCTAGTACCACCGGCTTTACCGACATCGGCAGCCAATCGAGTACGAGCAAAATCAAGTGGATATACGAAACATAAAGATGTTGCACCAGCAGCTCCACCAGAAGCTAAATTACCGGCGAAATATCTCCAGAATTGCTTATTCTTGTCTACTCCTCCGAGGAAAACTTGCTTATATTTGTCCTTGAAAGCAAAGTTAAGAGCTTGAGTTGGGAAATATCGGATAACATTAGCCAAATTTCCTCTCCAGAAACTAAGGAAACCTTGTTCTCTTGGAATTCGAACAGCAGCATCCACAATACCTATTATGTAAAATTGAAATCGTAAAAAAAATTAGTTGACATAAAAACATTTTCATTTCTGTAGATGGACATTTGAAGATGTGAAAAGACTAAAAAAGAAACCGACAAATATGAATCTATTAAAGATATTTCTCTAGATACCAAGCCTTTTCTAGATATAAGTCATCATCTCTTAATTCAAGGTCAAAGTCACCTTTGATTTAACCTCAAGCTGTTCATCTCTAATATGACATTTAATGTCAGGATACTAAATATATTAAGGCGAAATATGAAATTATATCTTACTCTGAAGTTAACTTTTAAATTATAATAATAATGAATAAAAGGGTGAAAATTAAAATGATAGTAGACAAAAGAGACACATAAAGAGTAGCCCCTACTATTTCTATTGAGTAACAGACTCATAGCCACATAGGCAGAATGATTTAAACCAAGAATGTAAGCTAGTCTATTTTTTAGAGTAAAGAATGGGTCAGAATTTTCATCCTTTGGATAGATCAATTGTTAATTACTCACCCTTGTATCGTTGAGCTTCGGCAATTTGTTTAGAAGCATGTTGAACTTGTAATAGAAGCTTGATTCTCTCAATTGGAGCTACAGCGGTTTTGGAAATGGCTGCAGAAATACCACCGGCCATAAAATCTTTAGCAAACGATACCATATCGATAGGCATTTTGACTAATTTTTATTGAGAGGACCTAAATCACTCGGAGAAGTAGATTATAAGCAAAAAGGGTAAATTAGTTAAATAATTGTCTGCACAACAAAACTCAAACTAATGATTTTAAATGAGAGGAAGACAACCAGAATATCTTTCCAGGAAGTTGACTGTGTCCTCTAGTGGTAACATAATAAACTAATAGAGTAGAAGTAATTTTTGCTTTGATTTGATTTAAACACAATTATAAAACCTTGGCTACAATTCAATATACAATTTATATATTCAGAACCTTGAATTTTACTCTTCTTTTCTTTACTAATATTTCACTCTACATCTTTTCACATTATTCCTTAAGATATGAGGCTCTGGAAAACTGTGACATCAATGTATTTTATGCCAAAAAAAGAGTTACAAGTTCATTGAGGATTGCCCTAATTATCAAGAAGTCAAACAAAAGTTATTCAAGAGTCATTTGTATCTTGATTAGACATTGATATTCCCTGAAACTTTGAATTTAATCTCAATTACCTAACTATTATTCAATCAAAAAAGGTTCATCTTCTGGTTTTTCAATATAAACCCATCAACTCGTTTAATGGCAAACAAAACATAGCATCAAATTAGTTCAATATTTTGCAACAAACTGTAAACATACCTTATTTTTTCCTCCAACCAAATATCTCTAATGGCTCGAAATGTAGATTTAGGAATGTTGAAGTAAAAGACGATTTTATCCTCAGGAAGATAGTTTTCATAAGCTGTAATAATCAACTGTCTCTTGACACTGCTTATACGTGAATAAGGTGACTTGGAACGATTAGAATGGCGATGGGTTAAGAGACCAAGAAAATGGTCAACCATGATTTGGCTTAATCAAAATGAAATAACCAATAACCCAGTACTTTATTTTTTATTTAAATTAAACAGTTTTAGACAATAGTTTAAAGTTCAAAGTTGAAAGAGATTTAGAAAAAGGAAAGTCAAGAGAAACATTGTTGCAAATGAGAAGAGAAGATGACTGATAGAAAAGAACGAAGTTGAGTTTGGTTTAAATAGTGAGACTCATGCGGCAACTTTACTTTGTAAAACAGTAATCTGATGCTAATTGAATTTTAAACAAATAAACTTGTAAATTGCAAATTGGAAGCTAAACTATGAGTGAATTTACTTGAAAGATAGAGAAGTGAAGACATATTAGCTGCCATTTTGACTCTTTAAATCATTATTGGCGTCAAAAAGCCTTTTTATTGACCAAGTTCACAGGTCAATCTTTCAAATAGCATTATTGGATTATTATATTAACTTATTAATAGTTTTTGGGTTAAAGCTGCTAAATTTTACCCTTTTCTTAAGACAATCCTTAACTAAACCTGCAAAAATAAGCCAAAACTGAGCTAAAAATCGCAAAATTTCAGTAGCATTTGAATATACTTTAGTAAATCCTTTAAAGTGTTAACCAAACAAATCATTTATATTTTCATAAGTTTTTAATGATTTGCCAAATCGTGGGAATCGAGCAATCATTGAATCACACAGTTGATTTTTGTAACTATTGGTTGATTCATTCGGCTCAACTTTGATCAACTATTGCATTTGATCAGAATTTCATAAACTTTCATACTGCATCGTTTGGATTATAATCAAATGATCGAATTTTGATCGTTAAATTTATTTGAATCGAATTAATAAAGTTGAGAACAAGTAAATTTTTAATCAGTGTATGATAATTTGCCTTCTTAATTATCCAAAGATACATTGAACCCGAAGCAAATAAAAAAATAACAGATCAAAATTCATTGCAGCAAAGTACGAGGTAATGTCAGTAACTTGAAATAGCTTATTTACACATCATGTAAGTCAATATTTTACACTTTAATTTATTCACAATCGCTGAAGCAACTTGCTATTTATCACAAAAAGCTTCCCAGTTAATTGAACTTGTTTGAACAAATGCTTTTATAAAGCCTCTTCTTGACATTGCCAGCGAGGCAAAGCAAACTCTTGTTTGAATAAGCTATTAGTAAGTTGTGTTTTCAATGATATAAATTAAAATTTTGTGCATACAATATTCAAAATAATCAAAATTAACTAATTTAACATAATTGACTCACCAGAAATTTGTAATTTAAATACAAATGGTTAAACGATAAATCAACTGGCTGACTTCATCGACAAAAGACTTGCTTTTCGTTTAACCAAGTAAAACCTTGATCTCGTCGTATAACACTAATACGAAAGCTCCACCAGTTCCTCTTAATACATTAGACAAAGCTCCCTTGAAGAAAGCCTTTGAACCTTCAGTTTTAGCAATCTTTCCCCAACAATGTGCTGTGCTCTTGTACATTCGTTCTGCAGGAGGTAAACCACTTTGCATCATCATTCGTCGACGTACGGTATCAAATGGATATGAAATAACTCCAGATACAGTTGTTACAGCTTGGGCAATAAGCCATGAGATGACAATTGGTGTCTTCTTGGGATCTGGTAACATACCTTTAGCAGTGTCATAGATACCGAAATAAGCGCCTCTGAGATGGAAAGGATAAAGATTAGAAATGTACTGAGATTTTCTGTATTTATATCCGAAAAGTAAATATTTTGAAGGGATGAACTTACCGGTAGATGATAGCACCTTGGACAGAACAAACAAAACCTCTGTAAAGACCTAAGTATCCATCAGATTTTAGAGTCCTGCTAATACAATCGACTAATCCATTGAATTGTCTTTTAGCACCAGGTTTACCAACATCAGCAGCCAATCGAGTACGAGCAAAATCAAGTGGATATACGAAACATAATGATGTTGCACCAGCAGCTCCACCAGAAGCTAAATTACCGGCGAAATATCTCCAGAATTGCTTATTCTTGTCTACTCCTCCGAGGAAAATTTGCTTGTATTTATCTTTGAAAGCAAAATGAAGCGCTTGGGTTGGAAAATACCGAATAACATTAGCCAAATTTCCTCTCCAGAAACTAAGGAAACCTTGTTCTCTTGGAATCCGAACAGCAGCATCCACAATACCTAATATAATAAATTGAAATAAACCAATAAAAAGACAATGAATTTGTTCATATTAATATTCTGAATTCTCTCTCTTATTATCTGATGTATTTCAAGGCGAAGTCACCTCTGATTTTGCCATAGATTGCGAATCTTTAGCAAGAATCTAACAGAGTATTTAGTGTCTTTAATGAGTTGATAATAAAATAAATTAGAAGATGTTGAAAGACATAACTTTAACTAAAGAGTAAAGGTCAGTACTCTTGATTACTCACCCTTGTATCGTTGAGCTTCGGCAATTTGTTTAGAAGCATGTTGAACTTGTAATAGAAGCTTGATTCTCTCAATTGGAGCTACAGCGGTTTTGGAAATGGCTGCAGAAATACCACCGGCCATAAAATCTTTAGCAAACGATACCATATCGATAGGCATTTTGACTAATTTTTATTGAGAGGACCTAAATCACTCGGAGAAGTAGATTATAAGCAAAAAGGGTAAATTAGTTAAATAATTGTCTGCACAACAAAACTCAAACTAATGATTTCAATGAAAGAACCCCAATTAAAGTTGTTACAGGAAAATCATGGAATTTTATGTTATTAAAGAATCATCTCATCTAAATGATAGTAGAGATTCGATAAAAATCAGTAGTTCGTATTTTATGTTTGTCGCAATCATTTTATCCTTTATTTATAATCTTAATATTATTTAGGTTAGTTATTCCACTCGCTTCCATAAATCGTTTATCTTCATTCAATATTCTGTTTGTTACTATTAATATAAAGATTAACACAATCTTCACATGTATGCACAAATTGACACGAATGGTCAAAAACGGCCAAAAAGTTCTTTATTAGCTTTGAGGTAATAGCATTTGTTAGTGTAATTTGCATCAATTTCGATCTTAATTTAAAATTGATTTGATATCTTATGCATATACAGAGTTAACTTATGAAAGCCCATTTGTTGAGGTTGTTTTTCGGCGTAAAATTGAACACTGCATATGGCGCTCAACCTACTTGACACGAAACTCTTTCCCTTGCTTTGAAGTAAGTTTGATGTTTGTTGCTCAAAAGACACAAATAACACATTTATACACAGCTTGACACAAATTGATACAACTACTTCAAGACAAATGGCCAAAAACGGGTAAAAATGGATTTCTTTCGATTTTAGACTCTGGTATTTTGTAGAGAAATAAAAACTGAATCCTGTAGTGCTATTCAAAAGTTTCTCAGATGGACAGTGATCGATAAAATCGAGTCAAAAGTTGAAACTTCGAATCCATTTTGTACAATAATGGAAGCTCATTTTTTCATTAAATGCATTTTGCTGATGTACAATTTGACAAACAACCAGAAAATGGACTTATTTTAAGAAATAAAACTTTCTGTTTTCCGTAAAATAGATCAGTTCGATTTTCGATTTAACCTGTCGCATTCGGTGACCATAATAGTTAGAGAGATGAAACTTATTATCGGTCCATAAAAACAATTTGTACACATTGTGAACCAAATATTTTTTCTGATCTATCAACGATGTTCTTGATTTTGGCCATCGGCCTTAAAACTTTGAACCCAAATATTTCGAGAATGGCATCACTTACAATAACCATTTTTCGACAAATTATTAGATTGCATTATAAACTATAATTTTTATAAATATTAAATTATTCAAGATCATAAAGAAAAAGCTATTGCATTGTATTATTTACTTAGCACAATTATCAAGTTTATAAACAAATCGACAGTGTTACTGTAAAACAAATGGTCAATAACGGCTAAAAATAAACTTCTTTCAATTTTAGACTCTGTTATTTTGTAGAGTTATTAAAACTGAGTCCGTTAGTGCTATTAAAAAGTTTCTACGATCGACAATTATTGATAAAATCGAGTCCAAAGTTGAAACTTCGACCTTATTTAGCACAATAATGGCAGAAGATTTTTTCATGAAATCATTTTAACTGATGTAAAATTTGATGAAGAACCAGAAATCGGACTTAATTTATGCAATAAAATTTTATTTTTTCCGTAAAACAGATCAGTTCGATTTTGAATTAAACGTGTCGCATTCTGTGACCATAATATTTAGAGAGATGAAACTTATTTTTGATCCATAAAAACTATTTGTACACATCATGTACCAACTCACTTTTCCGATCTATCAACAGTTCTCTCGATATTGGTCATTAACCTAAAAAGTTCGAGACTCAATATTTCGAGAATGGCATCACCTACAATACCTGACCGTGTAGGAGAGTCTCGCATGCGCAGACCC